TCACCTTAGGAAATACAAGTCGAATAATTGTTTTTATACTTCATAATTTGTTGACATTCTTCGACATGGTTTTATACATGATTAAGTTATTTTGACTTTGCCGTTTGTGAGCACTTTTAAAACACGAAGTAACTATCTTGATTTAAATTGTGGTAACTTAACTGTTCATTAAATCTTTGGCGGGTATGGTTAATACATGTGCTATCAGCCATAATCACGGTTTAGTCAGGATGCTATTCACCATAATAAAAAGGCTTTCCTCATAAGGTAAACAAGAAGAAGAATTCCGTATAATTGAGAAGGCTTTTATAGAGAATGAATATCCGGAGAAATTCATCATGAAGCATGGAAAAGAATTTATTGAAAGATCGAAACATCCAACTGTTGAGGAAAAACCTGTTTTTCTTCGTCTAGCATTCAAAGGTGATGAGACATCTGACAGAATAGACAAGAGAATAAACACTGCATTGAGAAGGAGCTTCTCTACTACCAGATTGATCTCAGTTTACAATACATTATGCTCAATAACGCAGTCAAAAGTAGACAAATACTCATCTCACGTCACCTCCAACTGCTTATATCAGTTCACCTATGCTTGTGGAAGCAGTTACATAGGACAAACCGAAAGAAGGACGTCTACTTGATTTTATGTGCATTTTCCAAGAAATCTCGCAATCACCAGGCATCTGATGGAAACAGGACATCAAATAGATGTTCTTCAATTCTTCAGCATAATGAACAAACAAAGAACGTCATGTTTATTACGGTTTGTGGAAGCTCTCGCTATCAAACTTTTCCAACCTGACATATGTACTCAGAAGGAGACTATAATTAAGCTTTTTTTACTTTGGTAACTGTATATAATTTTTTCCATGTGTATGTATATATTCTTTCCTTTTCTTCGGATCGCATCATCTCTTCATTAATTACTTACTGACTGTTAATCGTTTGACGGTTTATTGAGTTTCTCATGTAATTACGTAACCTACTAGCTTTTAAACAGTCCCTTCTTGTATACTGATTTTCTTTTGTTATCCCCTCCCCCACACCATAGCTACAAAATTTTCTATCTCATCAGATACAAATTCCCATTAATTTTGACTAAGATTTGTGATTATTATTCCTGCGTTTGCTTGACTCATTCATTATTCACTACCTTATTGTTAATCTTGGATTTCAAAGCTACATATTTAAATTATGTTACATTGAATATGCCCATTTAGACATTTATAAAAAGACTGATTGAGTGAGGAAATATTTATTATTATTTATTATTAGTCCCTTGGGTTCCTAGTGGAACATAGGGCTTCAGCAGCACGCCTCCAGTGACCTCTGTTCTCTGAGATCTTTTGAACCTGGTCCCACGACAGCCCAGAAGCTCTCATTTCTTCCTCGCACGACCTCCTCCATGTCACCCTCGGACGTCCAACTCGTCGCTTCCCATCGGGATTCCACTCGAGGGCCTGACGCGTGATGTCCTCAGTCGGCCTTCTCAGTGCATGGCCAATCCATCTCCACTTCTTCCTGCATATTTGTTGCGTGATAGGTTCTTGGTTGGTTCGTTCCCAGAGTTCCTTGTTGCTTATTTTTTCTGGCCATCTGATCTTCAGCAGCGAGCGTAAGCAGTTGTTGATGAATGTCTGTAGTTTATTGGAAATACCTTTCGTGACGCGCCAAGTCTCTGAGCCATACAAGAGCACTGACTTGACGTTGGTGTTGAAAATCCGTATCTTGTTCCGCATGCTGAGTGCAGAAGATCTCCACACTGGTTTCAGGCTAATGAAGGCCTGTCTTGCTTTTCCGATTCTGACTTTGACGTCCTCGTCCGTCCCGCCTGTAGTTGAAACAGTGCTTCCTAGATAAGTGAAGGAGGTTACTTCCTTTAAGTTTCTCCCGTTGACGGTGATTGGAGTTTGTTGTTGTTGTTGTTGATGGTGGTGGTGCGGTATCTTCATCACTTCTGTCTTCTCTATATTCACCTGAAGTCCCGTCTTCGCTGCCTCTTCTATCAACTTGTTAGTTTTTGCCTGCAGATCTTCAAGTTTATGTGACATTAGGCATAAGTCATCGGCGAAATCCAAGTCTTCTAGGTTCTTTTCCGTCGTCCAGTGTATCCCCCTCTTCTCGCTGCCTACTGTTTGCTGCATGATCCAGTCCACCACAATCAAGAATATCATGGGGGATAGTAGGCAACCTTGTTTCACTCCTGTCTTCACTTCAAAGGCATCACTGAGCTTCCCATTGTGGATTACTTGGCATGTAGCATCTTCATATAGTTGTTGAATGAGGCGGATAAAGGTTTGCGGTACTCCGTAGTATTGAAGCAGTTTCCAAATTACTTCTCGGTCGACGCTGTCAAAGGCCTTCTCAAAGTCGATGAAGTTGAGGTGGAGAGGTGATTGCCATTCTATGCTCTGTTCTATGATGATACGAAGCGTTGCAATTTGGTCAGCACATGATTTGTACTTCCTGAAGCCTGCCTGTTCCGGTCGTAGTTTTGAATCCAGTGCATCCCTTAGCCTCTCCAGGATGATGCGGCTTAATATTTTACTTGGGGTGGACAGGAGAGTGATTCCGCGCCAGTTCTTGCAAGCACTGAGGTCTCCCTTCTTCGGCAGTTTGACAAGGTAACCCTTCTTCCAATCGTCAGGTACCTTCTCTTCCTTCCACACCTTCTGCAATAGTGGTGTGAGCATGGCCGCTGTTGTCTCTGCATCTGTTTTCAGTGCTTCTGGCGGTATTCCATCTGGTCCTGCTGCTTTCCCGCATTTCAGTAGCTTTATGGCGTTCAGGACTTCCATTTTCGTTGGGGGATTAATGTTCACTTGTAGTTCAGCGGCTGCAGGTGGTATTTCTGGACGAAGTGCAGGTGGTGGTCGATTCAAGAGCTTCTTGAAGTGGTCGGCCCATCGTTTCCTCTGTTTCTCTTCTTTTGTAATTAAATTTCCTTCTTCATCTTTTATTGGTTTCATCTGTGTTGGTCTCTTCCCTGATAGCAACCTGGTTATTTGATACAATGTCGTCAGGTCTCTCTTACCTGCAGCCTGTTCTGCTTCACTTGCCAGTGTTTCGTAGAAGTGTCTTTTGTCTTTGCGTGCACTCTTCTTCACTTCTTTGTCCAGTGTTTTATACATTGTGCTCAGTTCCTCTTGTCGTTGAGCATCCTTGCACTGGTTTATCTTCTGCTTCACCATCCTCCTCTCCTCTATCAGCTTCCAGGTATCCGTCGAGATCCATTCCTTGTCTTCTTTCTTCTTCCTTCCTAATACTGTTGTGCAGGTTTCTTTCCACATAGCTTTCAAAGACTTCCAGTGTTCTTCCACACAGGTTTCTTCAGGGATGTTGCTCGATGTCTCCCATTTTGTCTTGAAGATCTCCTTTGTAGTTTCATCCTTCAGTTTCCGAGTGTTGTACTTGGGTTGAGGTCTATCACCAGCTTCCTTGAAGGCTTTTAACTTGATTTGGAAGGTTCCTTGCACTAGGTAGTGGTCTGAACCTACATCTGCTCCTCTTCTTGACCTTGTGTTAAGTAGACTGCGTCTCCATTTTCTTGAGATTGAGATAAAGTCGATTTGATTTTTAGTGTGTCCATCTGGTGAAATCCATGTCGCTTTGTGGATATCCTTGTGCCTGAACACACTGCCTCCAATCACCAAATCGTTGAATGCACAGAATTCTGCAAACAATTCTCCATTCTCATTCATTTCACCTAGCGCCTCTCGACCCATGGTTAGTTCTCTTCCCGTGTTGTCCCCTCCCAGTTTGGCATTCATGTCGCCCATCAGAATTTTGATATCGCCAACTGACGTCTTGTCCAGTGTTGATTGAAGTTGTCTGTAGAAATCCTCCTTTTTCTCTTGCTCTGCATTATTTGTAGGTGCATAACATTGTATGATTGTGACCTTTCTTCCTTTTGAGTTGAATCTTGCTGTCATGATCCTGGAGGAGATTGGTTCCCACTGCATGAGAGCCTTCGATGCTCTTGAGGACATCATGATAGCCACTCCCTCAGTGTGCTCGTGGTTGGCGTCTGGGTGACCGGAGTAGATTATTGATTCTCCAGTTGACAGTTTGGAGAGTCCACTCCCATTCCATCTGCTTTCGCAAATCCCAAGCACTTCGATGTTATACCTTCTCATCTCCTTTGCAATCTGGGCTGCCTTACTGGGTTCAAACATCGTGCGGACATTCCATGTCCCCACGTTTACTTTCGCTTTCATCGAGAGAAGACACATCGGCCAATTGGCTTCCCGAAGGCTTTCACCAACTGGCGTCATTTCGCCTCTCCGATTCCAGCGGGGAATAAGTTTGTTTTCATTTTTTATATTTTGTTTGTGCTTTGAAGTTTCTTTAGCGGTTAGATTTGTTTTACGGGGTAGGGTTGCTAGCCCTATGCCCAACCTTCCCTCTTTACCCGGGCTTAGGACCGGCTAGTAACTAGTAAACTAGTTAACCAGGCGAGGTTGAGTGAGGAAATATATTTCTTTTCAATTAAGTCTTCATCTTGGGCTCTACACTATATGCATAGTTTTATAATTTAATGCACATAGAAGTGGCAGAATCAGGCAGTTTGTCTTTATTTCTTGCACCTAGAATCGGGCGGTTGTAGAAGGGGGGGGACATAATTTAGTGACTGGGAATACTTTATGCAAGACTCTTTTTATGTGTTGTGTGATGATCTCACTGGCAATATCACTCTTAAATTGCAGCTTCAAGAAGATTTGCTTCTTAGGAGCTGTTGGCATTGTTGTCTTAACCCTTGTAATATTCATGTGCTTAATTACAAACTTGTCTGGGTAGCCATTCCTACTAAGCAGATCATGGATGGTGGCGCCACATTCTTCCTTTATATCATCCTCTGAGGAAATAGCTGAGGCAAGGTATGCTAACCATTTCACTAGGTTCTTTTTGTATTGAAGGGAAAAATTCTGTTTTTTCTTCAAAATGATTATTAATTTTTTTTTTTCGTTTTTGAATTTTTATAATTTTATTTTTCTTAGCCAATAAATGATTATGTACGTCGGATACCATCTACACCAAGATCAAATATTATTATGAAACCAACAGAAATATTAATGCCTGAGCCAAAACCAATCTTTAAAACTGTTAATAAAAAGTTAATAACTGTTCAATTGAAAAAGTGATCAAATGTAATATGTTTAACACTAACTATATAATACTCTGACTTCAGAATTATTTGTATACCATGCGCAAATGTTTGTTTGTATTCAATTACAATTTAATTTATTTTTTTCTCTCTTTCTTTTTACACGATTAACTGACTGTTTCGTAACATCGTTTGCTCATTTATTATTATTATTATTATTTACAAGCGTATTGTGATATCTTCTTATAAATAGTCCCTTGAAACTTGCCTATTTCTATCCTCTACGTTTATTATTATTATTATTAACAAAACGGTGGTGATGTAGCGAAGATTAGCATCCGTTAGTAGTAGTAGTAGTAGTACAGTAGTGTGTGCATGTGTGTGTGTGTGTGTGTTTTGCCCATTCAAGTGATCAGAAAAATCGATTAAATGAATCCATCGATAGAAGAGAAGGAGTAGAATAGTAAATTTAAGAGAACAAAATTATGAATACATGTGTATATATTTTTATTATTACTTTTTTTTCAATATAAATATGTAATATATTGTGGGGAAAAAAAATTTTTATTCTATGACTACTCCCTTTGAATTTCGTCGAATTAACTAGCCTTCAATTAGTTATCGTAATTATTAAATTTTTAATTGAAGAATATATTCAAAACACAAACAATATGTGTGTATACTACCACTTAGATGATTTTCTTTAATAAATATTATTCATTTATTTATTTATTTATTTCTATGAGACAAAAGAGGGTGGAGAGAATTATTTATATATCCCTTTAAAGGTGTCTCATTGTATCAAAGTTTTCACTTTTCATCAATATCCTGTTTACTTATCTCTGAATATACTTTGGATATGTATACATCTTTTTTTATATATTCTCTCCAATTTGTATCATATGTAGAAATTTTGCCAAACTTTTTCCTCTTTAAGATAGAAGAAAGTTTTTAAAAAAAATAAGATAATAGTTTTTATTCAGCTGTCTACCTTATTTGTTTAATTGTCTATCTATTCATTTTATTGTTTCAGGCCTGTTCCACTGATACAAATGCACAGATAATATACACAAATATTTCGGTGTTTAGTTTATTTTCGTATTGATAACTAGTATACACTAAACCGTTTGTAATTGTTTCTTGTATTCACCAATAAACCATTCTATTTTCCTCGATTTCTAGCATCTTTAAGCATGTTTCTATTGTTGAATTATTCCAATAAGAATTCATAGTATATATATATATATATATATATATATATATATATATATATATCATACAGTGACTTCTGTATACTTTTTATCTCAATTCACTATTGAAGGAAGAAACTATTGATCGTTTTCTTGTTGGTATTTTTTTGTGCTATTTGGCATTTGTTTGTTTTTTCTGAAAAATATTTCCTGCCAAATTTCTATCATCTTTATTTTTCTCTTTTTTTGGAGGCGGAGGTCAAACAGTTCTTATATGTATATACATATATATATATATATATATATATATATATGACAGTTCACCTCAATTTTTGTATAGTTACTTTCCGTTTCTCTCTTTGTGTACCTGTATGCGCAATCTGAACAGAGAATGCTCTGACAATGCGTATTTCCAGGTATACATATATATATGTGCAGACATGCACATTTGCTCATTCCTTCGCATTTTTTGTGCTTATTATATGATATTTAGTGACAAATTTTAGCTAGTTTAATCAATTACAACACAGTAACTACTGCAATTTCATCAGAATGTGGTAGATTGCTCTGTGTGTGTGTATGTGTGTCACCAGAGAAGGTTCTCTGTTAGGGCTTCCTTCTCTACATTTAATTGTTTTATTTTTCCTCTTGATTCTCCTTCTTCGTCTTTAATGTAGAACAAGCAAATCTATTAACTGACTACTTGGTGGTAAGTAACATAAATGGTGTTTTGTTAAACAAAACATACATTTAGTCCTTTATATCAAGTACAAGTGTGTGTGTATGTGTATGGCATTTGTTTAATTTTTACTTACTGATAATATTATTATTCTTGTTATACTATTGATAGCTTCATTATTTACTATACTTTGTTGGAATAATCCACTTTATTATAATGTAATAATCTTTCTGTTTACACTTTTTCGATTATTATAATAGTTATACTTTACCATTTCATCTTTGTATGGATGCAAATGAATGATAATTAGACGGTAAGCAGTGTTTTTTTTCTTCCTATTCTCCTTACAATGATGATGATGATGATGAAGTGAATGCATAAAATCAGATGAATTTAATTTATTTTCTAACATAAATTAATTATTCTTGCCATTTACGTATTTTTTTCTTTTCTTTTGCTTTTTATTGTTGTAAAAGATTGGTTAACGTGAACAATGTTGCATATGTGTTCAATGAGGGGAATAGATCAAGTCATTGTAGATAGCGGAATATGAATTTTTAAAATTGTTTAATTGATATATCCTTACCAGTATCATTGTTAGATATTCGATTAAATTTGACCATAATCATCCTTATGAGTTGCTAAAAACTCTATAGAAGTATGGATAGCTAACTCGCTGTATAAGTGTTAATCACTCCATAATCACATAGTACTTAAGAGTAAACTGAAACTGGAACCGTATCGAAATAATCAACATTCATATGATATAAGAAAAGAAGAGTAAAGAAATCGTTTGTAAATTGTTCAGAATTTTGACCATTTCTGCCATAGTTATCAATTTTTGAAGTTGAAACTGATGTCCTCCAGTACCGATATCTTCTTTTCCATTAGATATCTTCCATAGAGAGAAAAACTAACTATAAATTGACAAGAAACAATAATTAATGTCTACGCAATATCATATTTAGCTTCTTTTCCAATTGTCGATTGCTAGACAAGATTACAGTGTTACACGTTACTAAGTAAAATTAATGTCATCAGTAAAACAGTTTATATTGCCTTTCATTAATATAAGCGTAAACAAGGGAACTGTGGTAGACATTGAATTCCATATTTGATGCATAATACACAGTGATCTAGTATTATTTACTTGATAACCACGTTTCCAGGATAAATTATCATTGCTCATAATCATATCAATGGAATCACACCACTTTCGACATCTGATTTTTATACTCCTACCACCTCATATGAATTGTTTTTATTGTTGGTAAAATTTTCCATATCTCTGGTATAGGTGTTGTGTCATTTCTATTACTTGTGTTGGTTAAGTGTTGATTCTCTCCGTCTAAGTACATTGGTTTTATCTCACCCAATGGTGTGGTTGTATGTTGATGCATGCATTGCAATGGCCGAGTTCTCTTCTATATTATTCATATCATTCGGATGTGTCATTGTATATTTGACTAAATTCTCATCTTCACCTAATCTAACTGACCCCAACCGTCTTGTTTGACCTATGCATTTGACCTCGCAGTCATCACATGGGCTTGATAGATCAGATTATTTTGATTAATTGCCTCTATCTGATCGTTAAGCCAACCGACAAAACTTATCATTGGGTGAGTTTGTAAGTTGAAACGTCACCCAAATTCCAGTCTTGTTGAGCAACTACGTAAAGTTTCTGATGTCGCTTCCTTGAGAGGGTAAAACAATGGAGGCCTTGAACACATTTCCAATAGTGTTATCATCACTATTCGTACTTGGATTACTCTTATTATTTCCTTTCTAATGTGTTCATCCGAATTTCTTAATCAACAGTAGACGATAATTGTTAACGCTTCTATTATGTGGATCAATTCCTTCTCTGAGCTTTTCCAATGACTAGTGAGTTTTCCAGCTCTATGATTTACACATCTCACCCAACCTGCCTTAACTGCCATTGCATGAGATGACCCGAAGTCTTTATACCTGTTGGAGTGTGTCGGTTTCCGGTAGTATGCAAACCACCGTCTGACCTTCATTCTACTCTGTAATGCAACATAGGTAATTCGTACGAACAGATTAGAAAGGAAATAATAAGAGTAACACAAGTACGAATAATGACGACAACACTAGTGGGAAGGAGTTCAAAGCTTCCATTGTTTTATCTTCTCAAGGAAGCGACATCAGAAACTTTACGTAGTTGCTCAACAAGACTGGAATTTGGGTGACGTTTCAACTTACAAACTCACCCAATGATAAGTTTTGTCGGTTGGCTTAACGATCAGATAGAGGCAATTAATCAAAATAATCTGATCTATCAAGCCCCATGTGATGACTGCGAGGTCAAATGCATAGGTCAAACAAGACGGTTGGGGTCAGTTAGATTAGGTGAAGATGAGAATTTAGTCAAATATACAATGACACATCCGAATGATATGAATAATATAGAAGAGAACTCGGCCATTGCAATGCATGCATCAACATACAACCACACCATTGGGTGAGATAAAACCAATGTACTTAGACGGAGAGAATCAACACTTAACCAACACAAGTAATAGAAATGACACAACACCTATACCAGAGATATGGAAAATTTTACCAACAATAAAAACAATTCATATGAGGTGGTAGGAGTATAAAAATCAGATGTCGAAAGTGGTGTGATTTCATTGATATGATTGTGAGCAATGATAATTTATCCTGGAAACGTGGTTATCAAGTAAATAATACTAGATCACTGTGTGTTATGCATCAAATAAATATACCTAATCTGGAGTTTGTATTGTCAGTATTTAATTTGTAACACAAACTCTGTATATCACGAGAAGACAGAAAGGCTCGATTTAAAGTAGTGTATGACGTTTTGGGCATAGAAGGTTGCAAACGTGAGAAAAGAGGAGCTCTAAAACAAACAGTCCCTCAAAGTTCGGTTAGCAAACTTATATTACTTCTCAGATGTAACGTATAAAATAAAACAACTTCAGGACTACCACTAGTTCCGAGATTAAACCATATAAGATAATGCCGCAAGCCATTATCTTTTGGACACTGCCTAAAAATTCATGACATACTAAAAGAACTCAGCCAAAAATAGACTATTCTTCCACCGTACTTCTTTCAACCGGTTCCAGGACTGCCAAACCGTAGACGGCAATGTGTGTTCAAGATAACGAAGTTGAT